AATCTCCTTGCTGTTCTTGAACATCGGGATGCGAATCGAGGATTGGGCGGTCCCGGACATGATCTGAACCATGTTGGCGGATTCTTCGTCTTCGCAGGACCCAACCAGGAAGTAGGCCGAGAGGAAGTGCTTCCCCTCTTCGGGGGCGGTGTCCTTGGGAAGGGTGTTCGAGCTTGCAATCCAAAACTCCCGGTCGTCCAATTTCCATTTGGTCTGGACTTGAACGGCATTAGCCATTGCCTCGCCCTTGGGGTTCCTGGTGAGAACTCTCCAGGAGTAAGGCACCAGCACCATCTTTCCCTTTGGGAAGACTTGATTGCTGATTAAGGCCCTGTTGGGCTTGAGCTGGAGGGACAACCCGCCAAGCACCTTGTGGGACTCGTGTGTGGAGACGAGGTCGTGCATGACCTGGTAGATCTCCCCGATGACATAGCCAGCCAAGAAGTCGTTGTTCTTCTTGGGCCCCATGGACTGCAAGCTTGCAATGGACTCGGCCTCCGCTTTCGGTGTGAAGACAATCCATCCTGCACCTAGCATGTCCCTCGCCTGGACTTGCAAAACCCCGCCGGATTTCAAGTCTTTGACGGTCACATTACTGTTGTCCATGGCACTGATCTGGCCTTCGAACTTCTCGCCCTTCCTCTTGATGAAAGCACCCACGATGAAGCCCTCAGCAGTCAGCAACTCGACCGGGTTCTTGAGGCTTCCATCGGGATTCAGCTCTCTGAGTCTCTCATGGACAGAGGACTCCTTCGAACCTTGCTCTTCATGGGCTTCGGCATTGGCCTCCCATGGGGACTGCAAGGTCATTCGAAGCAGCCCATTCGCCAACATGATACAGTCATGGGCCACTGCAGCCACAGACTTGTACTTCTTGTCGCCCTCGGTGTGCAAGCCTAAGACAAGCTTCGCCATGGTGCAGTCAGTCACTCCCAGGAGATTCATCATCCGAGGATCGTGCATCGAGTCCACACCGGCACCTTGCAGAATGCCCCGAATCTTGGACATGGCTTGGTCAGCTTCGATGGCCTTGGGAAGCGATTCCTTTCCAAAGACCCTTTTCACAGACGTGGCTGTGACCAGGCTCGTGCTGAGTGCCAGCTTGACAATGGCATGGCGNNCTTGCTCGCCGCCCTTCTTCATGTCCATGGACAACTGCTCCCAGAAGTTCGGCCCCATGGCCTTCATTTGCCCGTGGCTTCGGAGAAAGCCCTCCGTTTCGGCTAAAAAGAAAGCCTCCTTTCCACCGCAGTGTCGCAGAGCGAACTGAAACAGGCCTGGCAAAGACTCAGCACACGGCGGCTTCGAAGAAAGAGCTTGTTTCTTGACCAGCTGGTAGTCCGGTGTACTCTGGCGAGAAAGAATGGTACAGACCCGTCGGAGGAGTTGTAACTCTGACTCGGACTTTTGCAAGGTGGCATTCGCCGAGGATTGCACCATCAGCAGCAGGTCCGGCCACGTGGCCCCGACCTCACTGCTAAGGACCGTCCACTCGAGTCCTTGCAGGACATGATCGGCAAGTACCTTATCTCGTTTCTGCACCATTTCAAGCGATAAGCAACCGTTGACGGC